AAGTCAGGTCTCGGCCGATCATGAGCAGTAGCCAATAAACCGCATTGAAGGGCTTTTCCTTATATCGCAAAGAGCATCGACACGAAAGTCAAAGCCTGGGGTCGGCTTGAAAGTTGTAGAAAGAAATACACAAGTCAAGGATCAATGGCAGTCTTGCAACGCTGGCACCATCTTTCCAACTCGCCTCCAACAATAACTCTGTAGTCGGTGCTGCCGAAGTCCAAGTAATGCCGCCTGCACTGCAAGACACATCTCCCTCCTGCACCAACCACTCTACTAACTCCCAGAAGTCCAGACCGTCCCGGCTTCAGGCTCGGAGCGAAACTCGAAAGGATGGAACAAGCGATGCCCACATGAGGTCATTGGATCTGAGCATAGCGCCAGGCAAGCTTGAAGGTGTGGAACGATCGAGGATCAAACCTGCAGCGAGCCAGTGTGGAAAATGCTGAAGTAGCTCCATATCTGCCAGACGTGCATAGCCAGGGAACTGGAACATAGGGCGGAACAGCTGCTTTGGCTCGATCAACAGAGTCGTAACTGGCACGGTGGGCCTAACAAGTGCAAGGAGCCCCCAGGACAAAGAAAGCCGCAACCTACGTCAGAAATGGACCCTGCACGCAGCTGTAAATATGTGTCAAGCAGCTGGTAAACAAAGGCACAGCTAGGCTTGTGCACGAACGAGACAACACACGAAGTCCTGAGGCCAGTTAGTCCCATCGTTCTCACTGTCACAGCACGGCCACACGCAGGGATCCTCGACTTCTTGATCTCGTTCTCCCAGCTGTGCTGGTACCACAGAACGATCGGAAAGCTGATATGCAGCCTCACAGGTGAGCTTGCTACCGGGCTGGCTTCTGCCTTGCTTCTTGCCCTTCGAGACAGCGGTGCAACATCCCGCTGAGACCAAAACCTGCCGCCATACGCTCCAGAGGACCTGCCAGAAATCCAGGCGCCGGCTCCCTCGCGCTCGCGTGCACCGCGCCGTTCTCAATTCTTTAGGGCTGTCTTGCAGGGGAATGGCCTCTTCTTTGTGTCGCTTTTCTTGGGTCTCTCTGCCCTTCAAAAAGGAAACTGGCATGCTGAAGATTGCTGAAGCTGGTTAAGTCTTGCCGACTGTCGCATACCGGCCGTTGAGGGACTGGGCAGTTCCGGAAAGCAGGTGTACGAGAAGCGCGGCAACAGGGTGCCCGTTTCCGTTCCATGGGGATTTTAGAAGTGATGAGCGAGCATCAAGTCCAATTTCGAGAAGCAGTGAAAACGTGGAGCCCCAAGCACAGCTTGACTCTTGAAAGGCCGGCCCCTCTTGGGACACGGTCTAGGGTTCTGCACCAAGATGAGACAGCTTTAACAGTGTAAGATGTCGTTTGTCATGGGCTGCTATGTTCATCTATGTTCCATCTCGTCGCTAGCCCTGCCCGAGCTCCGAAACTTGTATCTTATGGGCAAGCCGGGCTTGCCTTTTTTGCTTGCCTCGCTGGGCATGGCAACACTCGGGCTTCTGGACCAAGGAAAGTTTCGTTGATTGGTCTTCGGGCGCGGGGAGGCGACGGGCCTTAAATTCGCTGGCATGCCCTGATGCAAGAAGTAGTGGATTGGTGGCTACACAAAACATCTCAGAGCACTCCGGCCGGACCTTTCCCAAGTGAAGTTCTGACCACCGGCCATGCTTCGGACTCGTTCCATCGCCTGAGCAGAAAGAAATCCACGCTCCTACAAGTAACTTCGCGATATGCCGACCCGCGTCTGACAGTCAAAGTGCCAACATTCTAGATTCTAGCAAGTAAGTCCCGGCACCTCAAACAAGCTACAGCTGTCCATCCAAATCCCGACCTCGGAGAGCGGCATCGGATTGTTCTCCACATTGACCAGTTCTTGGAAAGAACAAAGGGGTGCCTGCAGAGGCTTTAGGCAGCGCTAGGCAACAAGGCAACGCTGCCAGCGTGAACAGTTGACTTCGGATTGACCATGCCTCGAACGGCTGCGATTGCCACTTCCAACGTCCGTGACCCCGCTCCCGCCGCTGCGTGGCAAACTCAGGGACCTTGTGTGCGGGCATGCCACGGCTGTATGGTGCGATGTGCTTGGCCTCATCCTCTTCAATCTTCGAGGTCAGGTTTTGCTTCCAACCCGTCTACTGCGAGCAAGGCGCAGGAGTCTCGGGCTTTTTCGCCTCCGCCTCTTGACCACCCTGGCAGGGTACAAAGCTTCAAACGAGGAGACGTCGGGACCCCGGAAGGCATGGAACACGTTATCATGGCGAGCAAGTTACCCCGAGCATCGCTGTGCTAAGATGAGCCAACATCTTTCTACTTCCAGCTCGTCGGCTAGTACTTGCTGCGCACGAAGTCTCGCAAACAATTTTCAGGATTGATCTGCCAGCCTTGTCGAATTGCTTTGTGGGGCTGCGAGGTTTATCCTGTAGCGGGAGTCCGCAAACGTACAGCAATACTGCGTCTCATGGAGTACATGTCAGCATCTGCTCTCGCGCTGCTCGCCCTGCTGTCGAGCGTCCGAACGCTCCTCTGCTGACTCCTTGTCCTGGCGAGGTATGCGCAGCTGCGGATGCGGCTCAGGGGGGATTGATCACCCGACTGTCGTTAGCAGCAGGCATTTCGTTACCTTTAGGTCCTTGTCAGTGGGTCGTGATCCTGATGTCATCGCCATACGCTCGGCGACCGAGAGGCGCCGGTTGCCACCCGTCGTTGTGTCCGTTGAACCTGCAACCTCGCTGAAGGGAGGAGGGAAGCAGCGGCAAGGAACAGCTTGCAAGCACGAGGCTGCGAGGCAAGCAACTGCACTGAGCGCAGACTTGAAGGCAGCCGCAGCTTTCACGAGGGCGGTCTGCGACCTGGCAGCCTTGTTCGGGTTGGATTTGCGCTGCCCGCCTGGCTCTGGCGACCCTCTCCGGGATGAATTCGGGTCGGTCAGATCACTGGGCCGACTTTGCAGGTCGGATTCCGCTGAAGGCGAAGCAGAGCGTCGGTCGACGGCACCAAGCATCTGTGCTAGCTTCTGCCCTTCAGTTTGTTCCTCCTCCCGGGCGACTTGCATGAGGGCTTTCACCGCCGAGAATAATGACTTTTTCCCGAGCGCATTCCTCGGGTTATGCTGACTGGAAATACACGAAAGCAGGAAAGCAAGGGGAGAGAGCAACTAAACTAAACCGTCTTGTGCGCGCTTCCACAACCACGGGAAACCGAGCGGCTTGGGCGATGAAGGGGCCGAAGATTGCCTTGCACAGATGAAACAAAACGGGCTTCTGGCCTGCAAGCTGTGACAAGGCGGTTTCGGCTAGTGGGTGTGCAGAAAGCCGGCACAGACCTAAGCCACAAAAACGTAAAGGCCAAGATGCGGCGGCTCCTCAACTTTCTCCTCGGAATCCACCTTGGCCTCCACCTTGGCCTCCACCTTGGCCTCCGTTTTGGCGCTGGGCTTGCCGAGCTTTGCCTCAGCCTTTGCCGGTTCCTCTCGCGCCGCACTCGCTTGCGGCGCTTCCTCTCTGTTCTCTTTGACACGGCTGCCTTGGTTCTTTGCCATTCAATGCTGGAGGACGGTGATTGTTGGCGCTCCGGAGAGGAGAGGGTGGGAGCCAAGTGGCGCCGGACATGCGATGAACCCACCATCCGCCGCTGAATGCTGGGGCCGCGCTTGGGCCGCACAGGGCCTCCAAGCGTAGGCCGCCGAGGCACGGGCGCCGACGGCACCTCAAAAGAGCAGCGCAACAGACGCCGCAATGCGAAGCAGAGATGAACAAGAACAGACAAGAACAAACACAGCTCGCCTTGACCCATACAGAGACGCAGAAACTGACGCAGAATGTGGCAAGAAGACACTTTCGCAAAGAATTTCCCCCTTATGCCTCCGGATTGGGCATCTCATCAAATGGAGATGGCTCAGTCGGCGAAGCCAGGGCTGCCAGCACCTCCTGACACTGACACTGGTTTCTCCGTAACATTTCTGAGTGCCAGGTGGGTGTGTTCGAGCAAGCTTGGGCCTGGTGCACAGCCCAAGCTTGAAAAGGGTGTTAGTCCTGGACTCAACCACAGAAGCCTGCACCGTCATCGAACTGCAGACCACGTAAGCCGTTTCGAAAAACTTCGATGCGCTGACATGAAGTAAGACTCAGCCAAAACCACGAGTGGAGATTAGATATTGCCAAACACCCTGAAGTCTCTCCAGGAAGAAACGATTCATAACCTACGGTAGAGCAGAGCATCCGTTCGAGAGCGTCGCAAGTCATGCTTAAGCATGCTTTTCCACCCTGCCTGGCCCATCTGCCTCGCCTGGCTGGCGAAGTCCACTCGCCACGCGTCGCCAGTGGAATGCTGGGAGGGCAAGTGGGAGCTGTGGTGTGCTTGGCTTCCCAGAGCTGAGATGAAGAACTCCACAGAACCGACACACAGAATGCAGAAGTACATAGTCCCTCTCAGCACAGCCTTGCCTGCGTCTGCCGCGCAGACGACGTGAAGGAAGCCTTGGCAAACGGAGAGGCGGGGATTGGGATGGAAGCTTAACCACTCCCGCCACGCAGCAGTGGTTGTCTGCATAGACAACGGATGCTTTCGAAACTCCTGCCCCGGCGGCAACATCGATACCAGAAGGAAGCTGCGACTGAATTGTGACTAAGCTTAGGGGTACAAGTATCTCCAGTCTGAGCTACGCGACTGAACTGACCGAACAAACTGAAAAACTCAGCTACGCGCAGGACAATGCTCAAGCTTGGTCCTCCTCTGTGAGCAGCGACGCCGCGGCTCTGATGGGAGTCGAAGGTTGCAGGAAGGACTCCCACCCCTCCAATCGCAAACACCAGTGACCAAGCCCTCGTGACTCTACACCTCGCATCTCTTGACCGCATGGTGCACTCATGGTGCACCGAACCTCTTTCCATCGGCTCGATCCAACAGCGGGACGGTCAGTCAAACTTCCTGCACATGGCGAAACCCAGCTCTTGCCTTTACGAGGGCAGTTATACATGGAGAATGTGCCAGTCCCCAATCCGGTCTCCTGCTCCGTGGAAGGTCTTGGAGAATGGCTTTTGTCGTCCACTCCTGGCGCTCCGCGAGCTGTGGCTGGTTTGCTCCGACCTGTCGGGCCAAACCCTGGCAATGCCTTACTCGGCTTCCACACACTCCCTCTCGCTCCAGGCTGGCCTCCACGTTGTTCGTGGGTCCATACTAAGGCTTGCCTGAAACAAGGGCCCATGGAGCGTCATCATAACTCGGTCACAAAGATCATCCCGTGCTGCACAACAAAATCCCCAGACCTAGCACGCAGCGGTCTCACAAGGAACGCGGCCAGGGCCTGCAACAGCTTCTCAAGTACATCTAGCTCATCTATGCTCTCTATGTCTCCGTATCATGCCCTTGCATTCCCTCATCCCATCCGGCTCTCCCGAGCATGTCCTTGGATGCGAAAGCTTCCACCAAGCCGGATCGCCGATTTGCCGTGGTCTGTACACGCGTCTGAGCTGCAGGTATTCTGCTGCTCAGCTCTGATTCTCAGGCTCCCTCACTTTCAGCGAGAAGCCATCTACACTACCATGTTTCTTCGTGTTGGACAGAACACTACTAACTGCAGTAGCAGTGATGGTTTGACCATCTGTTTTGACGGGTCCCTTTGGGTGACTGTGTGTCGAGTCCGAGATTGTCCGAGCCAGTGTATTTTGATGTGCCTGCTTGGCTCAAGTTGCTAAGCTACACGGCTAACTTAGACCAAAGCTGTACATTGTGGGCCCAAGCCTTTCATTGACGCATGCCATGTGTACGCCCTTGGGCCGGCTGAATGCAAAACACATGACTGAGTCACGGATGAACGGGCAGCACATGCCGGCGCCTTGCCGTGCAACATGGCAGCTGCGACATGTGCGGCAAATCAAACACGTTGGATTTTGCACTCTCGTTGGCGATGGTTTGTATTTCTGGTCCCCAGAGGCTGCGGCCAAGCGTCCGAAATTAGCCCAGGCCGGCATTGAGGCTCGCAGAGACTTGGCCTTCGGCCAGGTCTACAAGATTGACCTGCCGGCACCTGAACGCAGTTGCCGCAGCTACCCCTGCCTTGCGGCTAGCTGCTCACCTTATTTCTGCTACGGTTTCTGCCTAGCCTCTGGCCTCCGACATCGAGCAGCCTGACTTGGAAGGTATTGTCTCCGTCACAGACCTCTGGCTGCCTCAAACCCGCACATAGATCTAGAAGCTGAAAGCTAGAGCTCAAAAACGAAGGTACGAAGCTGCAGGGCAGGGGCAGTAGTGTACAAAGGGCTGCCGCGGCCCGTAGCGAGTCGCGGAGCCCATGGCAGACACGCGGCAAAACAGAAAAGCCGACAGTGAGCGTACTGGTATCTCTGCTAAGTGCTGAAATTGATCATGCTTGGGGAGCAGCGCGTCAAGGCTTGGAATGACTGGGACATGCTGGGACATTACACCGCTTCGGCAGACCACCGGCTCCATGCGGAGCTGGAGATGTAAAAGCAAATTCCATCCCTGAGGGATCGTGCAGGCACAGGCTCTTCCTGAAGGCAGGAACGCGTGCATTTCCAACAGGATGTCGGCATAAACTCGCACAACAAGGCTCGCACAAGTCTGCGCGATGGCGGGGCTCTTCGGCTGAATCGGGGGCAAATAGGTCCTGTGGAACGGCGCGTCTTCATGATCATGAAGCTTCAGATGCTTCAGTTCGCTCTGGTTCACAGCCATGCAAGCGCTCCCGTTGCCGGTGTTCTGCGGCGAGTGCCTCGGGCACGAGACGCAAAAGGCAGCCATCTTGATCTCCGACCCCTCGATCTGGCCCCGTCCGGTCACTTGGGTTGCAGCAGGCCAGCGTTGCCTTCAGGCCTTATGCTCGAGCTCTCAGCGGAAGGGAAGTTTGACTTCGTGGCACGACTTAAAATCTGGCCACTGGTCTGGCAGGGAAAGTGCCGCATCGCGGACGCTCGTATGTGTTTCTTCCCACATTTGCGGTTTGCTTTCTGGGTCCGCTTGCCCCGAGCTCGCGAAGGTGAAACACAAAAAGATAGAAAACTACTGGAGAACAACACAGCCAACGTCGTCCTTTTCGGAACGATGGTCTACCTCTACATTTCAAGAGTGATTCTTCCGTCGCGTGCATCTGTTGTTTGCAATCTCTGGAGGGCAAGACTGCGACGCCTATTCCGCTCTCGCCTCTTTGAACTGGAACTTTGAGAGCTGATCTTTGAGCCGATCTTTTTGACGGGCTGCTCACGGTGCTCCTTGCATCGCAAAGTGCCAACCAGAGTAACAAGTGATGGGTCATGCTCCAGCTCCAAAGTGGCTTTCATCGTGCACACTCCGAAGAGGTTAAAGCTCCCGAGCACCTGCTGCGGCTCCGGAGGATCACTATCGAAAGAGTTCACGGCTGACTGTATTCGCCTGCTTAGCGAGGTGGCGCCCACATCTGGTGACAGGTCGTATATACTCATCTTTTCGAAATCAGCGAAGTGGCCAGTGCACTTCGCAAAAAGATTCTCGAAGTCATCGCTGGCAACAAGAATTTCGAAAGTCACAGCATCGAAAACGATCGAGTAATCTTTGTTTACCGACTGCCCTTGTGCTGCTTCCGAGGCCATTGTGAGCGTGGCGCTGTCCGACCGGAGAGGGGCCACAGTACTTCCTGTGAAATCCGGTGACTCCTTGAAGCCTATCAATCGGCAAGAATCTCCGTCTACTCCTGTGAAGCTCATCTGGTAAAGCTCCGTCTTGATTGGCGTTAGAGCAGAGTCGACCAGGCGAGTCGTCGTCGTTGGGGACACCTTGCTTGTGCCCGGCATGCTCGCCAGGAAATCCTCTACTCGCTCGCGATCCTCGCTCGTGACCTTAGGATGCCACCCGCCCCCTCTAAACAAAAACGCGAACACAAATGTAGCAAGAATAAGCTATCAACAAGCGCTCTATTCAAACACCAGCCGAGACCTCCGAAACATGCACGAAACAGACTTTGCTGCTAACAGATGCTGTGTACCAGGTCTAGGAAGTCCGAGCCCGCCAGTGTTGCGGCAGAGTTCTCGCAGAATAACATTGTGCCCAGTTGTGGAGAGTCCTCCAAAAGCCTAAATGAAGCATCCAGCTCGACAACGCAATCACAAATCCCACTCATCAGCGCTGTCGCTGACTCCATAGAGACACGCTTGGCCTTCAGCTGAACGCGTTGCTCCGCTGCAAGAGATATAGAGCCGTGAAGCGTGCAGGTCAGCGTCATCAAAAAGAACAGAGATCCGAAGGCGATGTAGACCATGTCTAGATCTCGCCACCACAGAACGCCACTACACAGGCAGTGCCCAATAAGCGCTTTCCAGCCCCACTGGACCCACAAAGCAGAAACCAGCCGTGGGAGAATGGTCAGGTATGCAACTGCTTCCACATCCTCCGCGTTTGCAAAGAAGTGCGCCATGGCACAGAGGAGCTGCATGCCGGCGTGCAGAGTATCCAAAACAAATGGTGAAACCTCACATGGCAACAGCAGCACCGTCAGCATCGTCCAATAGCCTACCAGGACAGGAATGTCCAGAGCCAGGTACACCGGATCGGTGGCCTCGCTAAGTTCGACCTGTATCCGTATGAGGCGAAACACACCAGCTGCAATAAAGCACGTGCAAGAATGCTGAAGAATAGCTCTTTGAACGTCTCGATAGGCTTTGATGCGCTTCTTCGTGCCAGACACCCTTCCCAACCATCTCTCCGCCTGCCGCACAAGCTCCCGACACCATTCTGCCAGAAAGCTTCGGCTGTTGCTCCATCGAGGAGCCAAGACAATCAGGATTTTGAAAACCGTGACAGCCTGCAAGACTGCTGCCACAGCACCCACTACAAGTGCCGTGGTCGACAACGTCGACATCACCACGTCGAGCAGTCTTCCAAAAATGATCCGAGCCAAACTTGTTGCAACATGGACGAGTGACGCGGTAATCCCTGTCTAGAACTATGGCACCTCAACTCATCTGCGAATGCAGTTGCAACTCAGCACCTGGCTCCTGGTCTTCGACCGCCTCACCTTTCCTGAAGTTCGGCCTCAAAGCCACGCTCACGCAACAAGCCCTTAGGCTTAGGCTTGACAAGGAAACTAAACATGGTTTCATCGAGGAAAGCTTCCAGGTCCCGCTTCGTGCCAAAATCTGTAAGTGAACCCGTTGTGCTCCGTCGGAGTGGCAGAGGCTACTTTACGTCAGAGTTGCTACGCGGGATTGGGAACACGAGTGAGCAAGGAGATGTGGCAAGCGAGGAGCGCTCCCACTCACAGCTGAGACGAACCGGACTTATGTCAAATCGTGCGATGCCCAGGAGGTTGCTCCCTCAGACTTCTTTCGCTCCATCTACTCTTGCTCCTCTTCCTGGAACCGAGCATCCTTTTACGGAAGATTGGTGTTCGATCGACATGCCACCTCAAGAGCTTCGCCGAAGGCCTTTTCAAGATGTGTTGATCATGCACCCACACCCCGCACATTCAATCCGAGGGAATCCTATACAGCGCTGAGAGACTCAAAGAAACTCAAGCATAGAAGATAATGTATAGATAATGTGGATGGGGCTGTTGCCCACGAAAATTATCCCGGTCTGCATGAGAAGATATCGTGATGGCCTCTGGGGTCTCAATTGCCTGAACATGGCGGGCGATTGTGCTCCAGTCTGCATGTGGGGACTCCAGGATTTGGTGTCTCGTGTTTGGGGATGGGCGGTCCGGTACTCCTTAAGGCTCGCTACTCATGCATGTGGTGTGAAAAATCTCTGACCGTCTCCGGCTCTGCACATCGCTGGGCTGTCTGCGCACTTGCTGACTGTTGGAGGGTCTTCTGCTGGGGAGGTTCGGCAGCCGCTTGCGGAGTCACCCTTGCAGGCGTCTCGTAGAGCAGCACCAAAAAAAGATGCAATCCAGTTCGGTGCGAAGCAAAAAGCACTGCCCTTCGCCTGCGGCAGCTGTTGTCGATGTCGAGGGCTGCAACCTTTTGGGACGCAAAACTGCCTTTAACGCTGAGAGTTTATGACAGTCTCTCCCGACTACTGGCTTTCGCACCTTGCAGCGCAGCTCTTCTACCAAGGCTTTGTGGCTGTCCTGCAGCTCCTCTGCCAGGGCAGCTTGTGGTAAGCCAGTTCGAGGTTCAAGAGTCCACCAGGCCTGCACCATAGCGGTCAAGTCATTCACCCGCTCTTGCGTTTCCTGCAGAGCCTGAATCTTCGCCATGCACCGACGCACCGCTTCGGTGTTCACATCCTGGTACCCTGTTGCATGCAAGCCTAAGTGCCTGGCTTTGTCTCCCATGACCGTTTCCAGTCGGCCCTCTTCTTTGGAGAGGGCCATCCTCGCCTGAGAGCCCGCACTCGAGGACACAGACCAGTTCATGAACGAAACCTTGCTTGAAGTGCCGAGCCTGCGTAAGCGTTGCAGCAACGCCGCGTATGTTTTCCTCGCTTAGCAGGATGCCCCCGTCAGCAACACTTGAGACATCGTAGATTGTCTCGGAGGGGACAAGAACAGACCGCCTTTCTTGCCCCTCGATAAACTACAGGTACAAGTGCCGCGCCTCCAGGCTTTTCTTGAACCTGTGCATGCACCGGAGAAGTTCATTTAATTTTTTCCACGAATCTCCAGGGGTCGAACTCTCCCAGCTCACGGGTCTTGACGGCCAGCCTGGACGAGAGCACAGGCTTCGAAGGAGCTTCTCCCGTGTCACCCCGTCGCTTTGGGCCCCGTGCTGGCGGCCAGCTCTGTGGGTGCACTGGTGCGATTCCTAGCGACATCAACAGCAAAGTAGCAAAGCCGAAACCAGCAATAATGTGTTTGAAAGCTCCGCGCCGGTCCTGCCGTATGCGTGCCAGCATGACATCCGCCCGGTCGGGCAACTCTCTCCTCAGCACCCACCGAATTGACTTGAACATCTCCGGAGCGCTGTGAGCTGAGCTCCGCACGCTTTTCTGATCACCGCGATCGAGCGCTGCTTCAAAGACTTGGCCTCTTCTTCGGAGAGGAGCTTAATCACCTCACGACAACCAGCCTCCCTGCACGCTTAATTCAAACAACATGATGCAAGCATCGCGACAAGAGCCTGATGGGGCTGAGTGTTCTTCTTGTCCACCTTGCAGATTTAAGAGAGTTAGCTCTGGTCACTGGAGCTCCATGCGACGCCAATCTTGCCTCAGGCAAGGATACGCTGGCTCCAGTTGCCATTCGCATCTGTGCCAATTCGCTCTCCACCTAGCACATCAAAACTGCGGTGATTGACGGATCTGTTCACCATGCTCGAGCTGCTAGACCAGGGGCAGGCTCGCCTGAAGCCTGCGAGCTCCCGTGTCGCGCGAAAGCTCGGCTCGCATCGCCTGATTGACTGCCCGAGGGAAAGCATGCACGCATCAAGGGAAGTAGGGAGTCCGGGAACATGCACAGATCCCCGTACGGCAAACGGAAGCATTGCGATCCCGTGCAAGGCGTCCTGCAGGTCTGCTAGGAACTGCTGGGCTTCCGCTTCCAGCGACAGGAGATCCTGCAGGATTCCGGTCACGACATGCGCAGCTCACAGCTTTTGGACTTCGTCCCGGGCCCCAAGCCTGGCGTGAGCGCTCCAGCACACCTCGCTCCCGATCGAGCGCCTGGACCCAAAGCACTTCAAGAGCCTCCCATCATCACACTGCCCCTTCAACACCTCCTCGACAGCATCCCGGAAGTTCTCACGGGGCCTTCCGAAATGAAAAGGCGAAGTACGTCGGGCATCCATCGAAAGGCTTCCTGAGGCTCTGAGGTGTCCGCGGCCGTCGCTCTCGGAGCTGAAGTCGCTTCTCGCAAACTTTCAGATCCGCGAACCTCCATGCGCCGCTGGCGGCAGACAGGTCCGACGATGTTTCCTACGCATTCCTGACTGTAGTTCACTCTCTGCAGCGCTGGCCTTGCATAGCGCATGTGGACCAACCGCGTCTGGCAACCTTCCACCTGCGACTCGCAGAGCCATTCGTCGCCAGTCACGTGGGAAGAACACTTGCCGCAACAAGCCTGGGTAATGGCATCTTCGATGTCCTTTATGCTACGCTGCGCGTCATTGATGACCTCCACTTGAAACTTGCACGAGCTGCTACTTCGGCAGCTGAACTGAATGCAGCACCTCGGTGTGCTCCCGAACACGCCCACGCACTCGACGCTTGAGCTGCTCCTTCCTGGCCACATGACCCCTCTTCGTGGCCAATATGCCCATGCCCTCTATACCGAAGCCGAAACATGCCAGCCATACTCGCGTTTTTGACCTTGTAGCAAACGGGGCATGAATGAAGCTTGGCAGGTAATGCAGTGTTCTGATTGATTTGACACCCGTCTTTACCACATGAATCGCTCGTCGGGCATGCATGCGCTGCATCCGCACCAGGCATGGAACGAGCGGCGAATCCGAGCTCTAAACATGCTCTCTTTCGGCTCTAAACCTGCTCTCTTTCCGCTATGTTCCAAGGCTGACTGCACCTTCTCGGCGGGAATCCCAATGCTAGTGCAGAAAGGGTGTCCTTCGCATAAACCTTTCGACGGTTTCGCCGTCCAAATCCTCGGCAGAGTAGTCCGCCCCGGCGTTCATAAGCAGCTGTATGACATCGAGGTGTCCGAACATGGCCGCGTAGTGGACAGGCCTCCGTAAGAGAAGATCAGTCGCGTTGCACGACGCATTCGTGTCGAGCAGCTGTTGCACCAAGTGCGTGTGGCCCCTTGCCGAAGCAAGATGCAACGGGGTTTGTTGGGAGCGATCTTTGGCATCTACGTCAACATCGGCAGTATCTGCCAGCAGTTCTGACAGGATGTTGCCGTGTCCATTTGCCGCTGCATAGTGAACTAACGTACGGCCGAAGCGATCCGGCGGTGCCTGGGACTGGTTCAGCAGACGCAGCTCCTTGAAGAGCCGCAGGTCACCTGCCGATTCCAGGATGCACAATTGTTTTTCTCCAGAACTGGTTTTGGCTCCTCTCCATGACTGACGAAAATTCGTCCTGCTATTCCAAACCCTACGCATGAGATACAGCCTAACTTCACGTGATACGTATTGCTCACAAAGTCAACTCTTCAGGCTCTTCCTTCCCAACCGGGCTAGCTCAGACCTAGAAGCCCCCCTTTGCCTGCCAGAACTGCCCAATGTAGGGGGCCACGTCCATCATGATCTGTTGTTACACAGAGCTCGGTGTGGAGCAACTTCAAGGCTGCTTTCGGAGGAGACCTTCGTGTCTGAATAGCTGTCACCAGCGGTGTTCGTCCCCACATATCTTGCGCAGACATCTGAGAAGACAGGTCAGTCGGCTCGCTTGCACCCAACCAGTTCGCGACATCCGAGTAACGGCCGCTCGCAGCGGCAACATGCAAAGCAGTCATGCCATATGCCTGGTCTGCCTCAATCATGGCATCCTCTGCCTCCTCCGGGTCCCTCTCTGCCCGACTGTACATGTGCGGTTCTGAGGTCTCCTCTGAGTCCCCCTCGGAAGCTTCGAGGAGTGCCGCCGCCGCAGCGTGGCCCGTCAGCTTGGCCCAGGCGGCCGCGGTGCGGTGCTGCCGGTCGGCGTACTCTGCCGAGGCACCAGCATCCAAGAGAAGTCGGAGGAGCCGAAGGTGGCCGCGCCTTGCAGCCCACTGCAACGGCTGGCATCCAAACTCGTACTCCTGAGCATCAACTGCGGCTTGCGCCCGCAGCAACTCTGAGGCCATTTCCTCCTCACCATGCAGGGCGGCCCAATGGAGTGGAGTCCAGCCCAGCTCGTCGGGGGCAGACACAAGTGTCACAGACGATTCATTGGCTTCCGCCAGCATCCCCCGAAGCATTTCTAGATGTCCGAACTCAGCGGCCTCATGCAGCGGCGTTCGGCCCCACTCTGCAGTTGACATATCAACACTTTGATCCAAGTCATCCGCGGCGTCCGTCGCGGAGCCCACAGAAGAGCACAAGCATGTCTTGAGCAGCCCGAGAGTGCCGACCCAAAACGAAATGCGCCCAAGGATGCCGGTCCTGTGCATGCTGCAGACTTCTGGTACCATCATGGCGGGACAAATGCCCTGTTATCACTGCTTCGATCTTTGCGGGGGAGGTGCTTCAACATACCAGCTCTACCGCAAGTCGATGATCAGCTTTTTTCCATGCTATGCCGTGCTCACGTGTCAAGATGCTGCCCTCTTCAATTTGTGAGTACTTCTGCATCTTCCTCTGAGGGGATTGCGGCATGTGTCTACGAGTCTTGAAAAAGAATCAACGCAGGCAGTCTGACAGTCTGGACTACCTCAAGCCGGTCTGGTCGGGCCCGCGCCACTTTCTTTCATCTCCTTGTTCATGGCGTCAGCAGCCTCGTTGACCTGGCGGAGGGCTCCGGCTCCAGACAGGATCTTCCACTCGCATGCCATCGCATGCCATCGCATGCCATCGCATGCCACGGTGGCAGCCACAGAAACCCTCCCAGCTTCCAATTCTCACGCCTTCGACGAAGTGCAGATGTCAGCAGAACTTTGCGTGCATCCACGTTCATAAAGCACCTACGCACCTACAGAACCCTACCCTATGCGAGCCGGCTTCAGGAAAACGCCGTGCTGTGGGCACAAGGCCCCTACAGGCCATGCTGGTGTGCGTGCACTCCAGCCGGTCTGTCAGTTCGAGAAACTGAGCACAAATAAATCACTATTACCTGAAATGCATGCAATACATGTACTTGGTCATTCATGTATTTGCAACTTCAGTCCTGGCAGACCGCGCGTCATTCAGCAGCACAGCAGCGGTAGGGTATTCAAAACGCTCAGCTGTATCTACAGGCCTGTGCAAAAGCAGCGCGAGAAACAAACAATGCAGAGGCAGTATATACAAGTGACGGTCTACCTGCATTGAATCGTTCTCGGTGATACACGGAGTATTGACCGCATTCTCGGCCTAGCCACGCAGTCTCACTCACATGCTGCTCTGGAAATCCTGGCGCAATTGAAAAGAACACCATGTGGAAAGATGCAAGACCACGTAACTAAACTCGATTCACATGGAAAGGCAAAAAATGGGGGGAGAGAGAGAGAGAGAGACAGGGGGCGAAACAGCAGAGATAAAGGAAGCAAGTGCAGGAACACACACGCACACACACACACACTGACTGGATAGCAGAATCAGGTCAGAGCTCGAACACACTAATCGAGATGACCATTCCTATCGGCACGCTCAAAAGGAGCACCAAGCCAGTAGGCACTGAATCAGGCCAAAATGCGACAACGAGCATTCCATAAATAAAGCTGTTAACGCGATGCGAGCGATGCGATCGAGGTGCTGTATCTCGTTGGGTTTTCGGCCCGTTCAAAGGGGGGGTTGGGCCTCATCAATGGAGATGCCCCCCAAGAGCTTTGCTCCAGAACCCGTGTCGAGATCACTCAGGGACAACGTGGAAGTGCTGGAAGGTGTTTGAAACAGTGGTGGACACACACACACACACACGAAGCCAGAAAGGCAAACAAATGCAGGAGCGGCATGTTTTGTACATATTGTTATGCATGCACACCATGGTGCGCTTGTTCTGGACGCAACGTAATCACTTACACTTGAACACACGATGCGGAGGAAAACCTTTTGCCTGACATCCATCAACTGTTCAAGGACTGAGCTTCAAGATTCGACCGGTCGCCTGGCCATGCATCCAAAAGGACTGCAAACCAGACAGAGACATGCGCACAACTGTTGACAGAGAGAGAGAGAGAGGCAGACAACTGACCCCTCAACCTCCCACGCTTGTGACACTGGTGCGTTGTTGGAAGCCTCTCTCTCTCTCCGTAAACTCATTCGCGTCACTCAGATCGATGAACGAGAATACACAGGTGGATGCTGAGAGCCACCGGCCTGCAGTATGCGCAAATATCGCTGGGTCGTCTCCTGCATGGATTTGCAATCACACATGTGCTGACAGCCCCCCTCACGTACACGAACCAAAGTCCTCGACACCTTGACGCTCTCTGCGAAGATCCTCCACTTCGCTCTTCCTGGTTTTTTGGCCGAGCTTACAAGCTTGACACATGGCGGCCTTGCGCAAGCAGTCTCATGCGCATATCCGAATAGCACCCACCATCTTCTAGCTCTAGCCCCGACATTCATCGAATCCAGCAAAGAGGTTCGAGTCGGATCTGCGACGATCATCGTTTGTGCCTTAAAATGCAAGGCTCAGGAGATGCCTTGTGCATTGGCGAGATACACCTTCATCAACAATTTCCAGCAACGGCTTCCGCTTCTCCCTTCATGCTCATGTGGCAATCTCGCATGCCATCGGCATGCTAAACATGCTTTGACTGGTGCCAAACCATCGGTTGCTTGTCACGTGCGGCTACCAAGCCAACATACAGGTTCCAAGTCGTCGCAATTGCCCTCCTCTACCCGGCGCATGCCACGGTGTCTTCGCAAGAGCCTTACCTTCCACTTACCTTACTAGGATGATTCGAGTCGAACCAGGCTCCCGAACCTTGTCGTTCGAAAAGGTAACATGCGAAATGCTAGAAGAGTGATCTCCTGCACTGTGCAGCAGCTCGCAGGGCGGCCAGGCGCAGCTGCAGGGCATCTGCATCTGCCAGGGCGGTGATGATTGTTAGAATTGGTCCCCAGACCACATGGTGCTTCTTCCTTCCTAATTAGAGAACTCGGCACTGTTTTGCGAAGCCCTGCGCAAGACCGGCGAAGAAATCAGTTGAGCCGCCTTCATGACCGTCTCCATGGTCAGAACGATGCGGGAGATCCTTTCTTCGTGCACGTGCAGGCAGCCGCAACGACATTAGATAAGAATCGCTAGCTAGTGGCTTCGACCGCAATGGAAGCTACACCCACGGGGGCATAATTTTGCACAGCGCTGATGGCCCCGCCTGGTTCTCCTGGGCCTGAAAGCTTTCGGCAGATCCTGATGCGTCTGCAAAACGGAGTTTTTGAGTCTCTTTTTCTTTCTGCTGGGCTTAGGGGTCGGTGTCTCCGACCCTCAGGCCATTGTTGAGTCTCTCTTTCTTTCAGCAGGGCTAGGGGAGAGGGAGAACAAGCCCCCCTTCTCTCTCTCTCTCTCTCTCTCTGCTGTTGCATCCAGAGGGTGCATCAGGCAATGCATGAGGCTCGGCCCTTCAGGCCCCTCATGAAACAGTGAGCCGCCCCTTGGGCAGCAGTCCGCTCTACGACCCCTGACCCGCTGTCCAACATGCTGACTGTGCCACAGCCCGAAGTTCCGCTTGGAGGTGCATCCAAGCAGCTGAAAGACGACCATGCAGAAGCACGTGTGCCACGCATCTTTGGCGCAGCTGCCCTGCACCCAGCACTCGCATTTTGCAAGACTGTGCGGAACTATGGAGGAACGGTTGACAATGCCTCTCTGGGCCTCTCTGGATGTATCAGGATGGCCGTACACTGCGTCACTATGCGCATTTTGACAAGTACAAGCCATGGCTGAAAATCAAAACCGGCAAAGCAGGGGAAAGTCCAACTCGTTGTTAACAAGCGTTGTCCTCACTCCTGTTGTCCTGTTGGTGACAACCAAGTGTTTGACACCCATACTGCCACGGGACAAGATGACAGCGAGTGCGCAACAATGCAGATTTATTCTGCAAATCGGTTCGGGTGAGCCTGCCATCTTCAAACCTGGACAGCAAGAGTCAGGCCGATGCTTTGCATTCTGCTTCGTGACTTTGTGAAGGTCAGTGACCTGAAAGCTTAGCCTCGAGCGTCGGCTCGGACTGCCTCTGCGGAGCACTCTCCTCGACACAGGCCTGAAAAACGCAGATTCCTCTGAAGGACACATCTTTGCCGGCCTCGGCCTGCTGCGCTCGCAGGCGTGACCATGTCAGCTTCGCTCCTGGCCTCACGAGAAATCATCCATCCAGGAGTTGCTCAAGGGTCTCAGGTCGTTGCCCGAAGCCGCGATCGCTTTGCAAGCATGCTGGGATCGAACTCCAAGTGCCAGGCGAGTGCCCCGGGGACTCCGCAGGAGGCACGGGGACCCCAGCGGGGGAGTCGCCAGCTCCCAAGGCTGTGCTCTCAGGCACTCCCTGCGAAGCCTCCGTGCGCGCTTCTCGATACCGCTGCCAGCTGAAGCGCTGCCTCAACGCGGCTCGCGGCGCAGCGAGAAAGAAAAATCTCCCAACACGGCTCCAAGGAGCCTGGGCCGCTCCGCCAGCTCCGACTGCGGCTGCACCTGACTTCCTCCAAAAGACAACGGCGTGACATCACACAATGACATTTTCATTTATCCCATCAACACGGATGGGCATACGGCCTCTTGATTCAGCGGTGGTCGCTGCAGCCTTCGCCTTCGCCTTTGCCTTTGCCCTGGCCGCGATTTCTGCAGCTTCCCTGCGTGCTGCATCGGCCCGCAGGGCAGCGTTGGCACGGTCTTCGGCGTCGCGGGCTGCTTCCGGGCTTCTCCAGGCGGGCGGGTGAGCAGAGCCCGTTGTTTGCGGCGGTCTGAAGCTGGCTGAGGCCCGTTCCTAAGCAAGCACGAAAGTGGAAGACGGGCTGGCCTGGCCTTTGCAACTGCAGTAGCATTAGCAAATGCTGTAGGACAAGACACAGTCGCAGCTTCTTGGCCGGAATCATGAGCACCATCGTCCTCCTCTCCTGCCACGGGCAGCGCATTGCCGGCTTACCATGCAAGCACAAGCTAGTGTCAACTCACGGGGGTCCTGGCGCACGCCAATCTGCAGGACGGAAGTAGCTACTAGTCTGGATGTTCTCCAGCTCCTCCAAGTCGGAGATGTCGATTCCCTCGGTCCAGTTGCTTAGAGCGCCCGCGGAGCTCATGCTCTCGCGCAGTCGCTGTACCACATCACCACGTGAGGCCAATCTCCGAATGCCGATCACACGCAAGAAAAGGAACTCAGCGTCGTGGATGCCACCGTACAGCGAGCGAAGATTCAGGTTGGTCGCCTTCGTCTCTTTTAACTCGTCTTCCACTTCCCACCAAGATTCCTTGGTGTACAACCGCTTGGGTCTGTGCCGCCTGGATGCATCAGGAGCCGGCAGAGACGAGGTCGCAGATGAGCTCCTCGTGCGTTGCTGATCTTGCCGGCTCATGTTGCTCCGCCCCTGAGCATGCGCCCGCAGCGGGTGCGTAGCCAGATCAGGAAGCTCCAGAGGTGGAAGCAAGAGCAGGCGCTCTTGGGAGAACGCACGTCGCACGTCCGCATGCCAAGTAACCGAACTTGTCCTGCAGGCCTTCGCCAGGCTGCTGTAGACTTTGCTTGCCAAGTTGGTCATTGACTCGAGCAATCCGCGCGCAGTCGTCGGTGTCTGCTGCAGGCTTTCCGATGAAGTGGGGCTGGAAAGAGCGTCCTCCACGTGCTTCACCAAATTTCGCAAAGCTGTCAGCAAAGATCTGGGAGAAAAACCAGGATGCGTCTCCGGCATTCCCAGCACATCCAAGAAGTAGTGCCGAACGCTCGGCCCGTATCTGAGATAGTGTGCCTGCAGGGACGGCACCTGCGTCAACCATTGAATCTCACCGTCCTCTTCCCAAGTGCACTCGTCAAGATGTCTGAACTGCAGAGGCACAAACACCAGTTCCGAGAGAGCTTCCCGGAGATCGCTCGAAAAACCACCTTCTGCACGTGATCCGAATCCGGAGGCCACTTCTTTGTAGATGTCCGCATAAACCTGCGTTTCGGCAAGCATGAACCCTGGACAATTACAGTTACCACAAACAGTCGCCTCGATGTTCTGACATCGACCTTCGTCCTTCAGGAGGCGCAAACTTCGGAGCAATCCTGCTGCAGAAAGCTCCACCTCAGGGATCTTCCAATCAGGATTGCTTCGCCAATGCATGGCAAACAGTAGCCATGACTTGCGAGAGGTGAGCTATACGCCTGGAAGCTACCAGTAGCAGCGTCTCACAAAGCCAAACTAGTGACAAGGGCCTTGTTTTTCCGAACCGCCTCGCACCTTATGGGCACCCAAAAAGGGCCCCCCGGCCTGGACACCGAGACACCGCAAGCACCTGCGAACTAGTTCATCCTCGGCGGGCTGTCTTGTGGAGCCCGGGGATCCAGGAAGCCGGACATAGTGCAGGTACTGCCCACCCAGCCTGCCGTAGACCTCTAAAAGGAAGATTTTCGAGGTCCATGATGGTCCATGATGGTCCATAATGCATTGCTGCATGTTAGTTTGCCTAAAGTTGTAGCCTGACTCCGTGCTGCATGGAACCGTCTCCCCCTCAAGCCCAGTCTACCTGCGAAGAGCTTTCGCGGAGGCACCAACAAATTCGCTACCACGTTTTACCGAGTGTCGTCATGCAAGAAAAAGTCTTGCAAGTGGATCTTGCGCAGCACCTTGCGGTCCTTCAGCGGACCTTACGATGTTGGGGGTCACCAGGTTTGTAGTATCCTCACGACACCGCACGCATCTGATAATTGAGAACTTTTTCGCAAGGGACCCGACTGCTGCCCAAAACCTGAATTACCCACCCTGCCCTGGAGTTCGTGGACGTCACCAAGCTGCCTTGACCCTTGGGGGCATCCACTTGGACAGCAATGGGCAAAGTCCGAAGCCAATGCGATTCAGCATCGTCAGCCCCGCGGCAGCGGCGAGAAACGTAGGCCTGTGCTCGCAGCCCACGCTTCAGGAGGCCAGACCACCACTCCTGCGCACAGAGGCTAGCACCAAGCCTTGATGCCAGGTCCTGCGTATGCTCAGCTTCCGCTGGCTGAAAAGTTTGCACGCCAATGGCTTGAAGGAAGGCCTCCCATCCCAGGGCATCTTCGCCCCATGTCTTTTGGCTGAAAATATCTTGAACCACTGCTGCATCTAATGGCCGCGACTCATCAGTGCAGGTAAAACCGAGGTACGAACTACTCTGCAGCTTCTGCGGGCGCCGCAAACTCAAACGAGCATCGCTGCTCATCTGGAGGCCCGGCAACCATAGCCAGGTGCCCAACTCTCTCCTGGGTACTCAAGACCCAAGAAGACCTACTATAGTTTACTATAGGTCTAGTAGAGACCGAAAAGACACTGTGCGTGGAAGCAAACGGCGTCTTCCATTTGTGGCAGGCACTGGGTCTTTTTACACAAGTCACAGCACGACAAGGTCCGCCACGTGGTTGGGAGAAAGCGGTCGAGCCAAGCACCACTTTCAACAGCTAATCACTATTGAGAAAATGTGCCTCCGAAAACGTCAGAGGACAAAACAGGATACTTTTCCCTAAACAGGACACTTAGGAAGGAGGGATGCGGGCAACGATGCGCTTCAGTTGGAGATTACAGATTACAGGCCTGTCTTCGGTCTGGCGAAGTTTGTAAAGGCCAGTGTCAAGCCAGTCGTGGCTGTTGCTTTTGTTTTCGTTACCATAGAATCGTGGTAGAAGCCTGGAAGACTCCGAGTGAGGCTCTCACAGCCTTCGGGAAACCTGCATCCGACTGGAAGTCTCAACAGGAACCGGCATGCCGATGAGATGTGGAAAAGCAGGTGCGAGTTTGCTGGCAGAGGGCGGTAACGGAAAACTGTGGCCGGAAGTCGTACTTCGTAGCATCCCACGCAGTCCAACGAAAACCGGCAAGCAGGAGGACTCTTCAACCCTGAACCCTGCAGCAATCCACCAATAAACAAACAACATTCCGAAGCCTTAACCGTAAGCCTTTGTGCCACCGGACCCAAGTCTAGACAGAACTTTCAGCCCTCTGCCGTACACCCTTTTGAAATCGGACTTGATGACTGCCAGCATTGCCTCTTCTGCAGTACGCCCTGAACTCTAAACCCTCCAGTAATCCAGCAATGAACAAACAACATTCCGAAAGCCTTAACCCTATACCGCCACTTGGGAAAGATTAAGATTCTGGAAAATGAACAGCCTTAGGCCTTAGGCTTTGAAACCTCCCTCAAGCCGCAACCCAATTGTTGCAGGTGGGCTCCAAGTGGCCGCAGGCCCCAAACCCCAAAACCAATCTCCACGACAACATTCACAGATGTCGTGCCAGGATCTTGCGTTGGCACGTTTGCAGAAAGTGAAACCCTAGTTCCTGGTTTCCAGTTGGCTGTGCAGGCTGGCTTCTGTCACCCACTCAATTCAGAAAAGTCTCCACCAAGCCTGTCTCGCTTCCGGATCTGCCTTTGGTAAAGGTAGCGGCAAGTCTAGACCAAGTCGACTTCCCTCTGGAAGCTCATCACTGAGGAACGTTTCCTTCAAGCACGCAAGGCTTGCCAAAAGAGCTTTCATTGGAGTCGGCTCTGCTGTCACACCGAGCCCATTGAAGGAGGTCAGGTGCCAAGATATGCAGAGAGCTGCCAGTTCGGGGCGGCTGGGCATACCCATCGTCAACGATTCCATCAGGTGCGGCGTTGCATTCTGCAGTGCCAGGCGTACCCGCGGCTCCACAAACTTGAGCAATCCCACCTCGGACAGAAAGCCCTGCCAATCTGCCCGAATCTTCACACACGGGCGAGAAAAGATTGGACCATCGCTGATGCGTAAAGGCGTACGCGAGCGAAAAGCCGGCAGCAGGTCAACATCCCAGACTTGAGCGAGCAGCTGACTGGGCTGCTCTGCCTCTCTCAACTCCATGTCAAGCCACGTGCAAAAAGGCACAAAGAACTCGCAAGGGTCCTCGGTCTGGGCAGCGCTGCCCACAAGACCACAAGGCCAGGAGGATCCACGGTATCTCAGCACCTTGATCCAATGCTCCAATGAAAAAACTTCAAGAACCCCCGCGCCAACGCCAACTGTCGCCACAGAGCTGGAGGATGCAAAGCTTCGGCCGCAACTGAGCTGTAGGAGCTTGGCCGGAATCAGCTGGGATGCTGCCAGGCGTAGAGGGTGCTGCGGCCGCTCAAAACATTCCTCCGGCTTCGCAACTGCCCCTTGTTCTGTCCGGATGCAAGCAACATGCAGCAACGAATCCACCAGCTTCGTGCGAACGTGTTGCCAAATCGGTCTGGGAGCAGCCTCGCAGCCCACAAACCTCATTGCCTGACAGCTAACATCACGCCCAGGTCCTGCCAGAAAATCTCCAAAAGCTTGTGGGATCGCATTACAAAGGATCTGGTTGACCGCGCTGCCTCTGCGAAGAGCGGTGGTAAAGGAACCATTGAAAACTGACAGCATTGCAAAATCAAACTCAAGAGCCTCAAAAGTCGTAACTCTTGACAAGGCACCTTCGTGCAGATCAGCCCTGCTGGCGACCAAGTCGAACGGGGCATCGACAGCAAAGTGAAAGCCCACGCAGCGAACGGGAAGGCCAACATGCACAGACATTCGAGGTGGGCAATCGGCTGTGGGGAAGACCAACCTCAAAACGACTGGGCCACCAGGGTCCACACCTTCGACCTCGAATGGATGAACCATGTACTGGAACATCTTGGCTTCCTTTTCCTCCAGGCTCTCTGCTGGCTCACGAGACCCCAGCACGCTTATGGACTGCACCAGCCCTGCTCTCTCAAGTCGCTCCAGGCAAACCATGTTCCCACCGGGATATTCCAACCGGATGTGGCGGAGCTGCTTCAAGAGCAGAAGCGTGACATGGTGTTCGCACAATCGATCGAATGCCTCTGCAATGCTGTCTGGCCCGGTTCGGAGCGGCAGATAGATGACAGTCCCCCCACTCTGGTGTGCATCCTGCACTGGTTTGGGCAGCTTCTCCAGCTCGGAATCCTGTAGCCAGGTCGGAGTCACATAGGCGAGCTTTCCCAGAGGTCCGCCAACATCAAACTTGAAGGTGAAATCGCCGGAGAGAACGTGTGGACACTGCGAGACCGCAAAAGTACTTTTCCAGCCAATGCCCTTCTTACCGATGCACCTCGACCTCGTCCAAGGCTAAGAACACCCTAGAGCCAAACATGGCATGGTCCGAGCAAGGAGGGCTCCCTACCTAAAGACTTAAAACTTAAAACTGTCTCCAAGTTGCGACTTGGAGCTCGCATTGATGTCGCACATAGCCATCACATCACCTTCCCTCAAGCCGAGCTCGTTGTTTTTTGTCATGAAATACCTCAGACTCAGGACCAGAAGAACTGAAAAGATATCTCGTGACATGTTTCGGTGATTTCGATCTGACAGCCCAGGGACGAGCCAGAGCCGTCGGTCTGCAGCGACATGAACAGTTCAGGCTGCACGTCCTCTGAATACTTGTTGTCATCTGCATTCTGAACCAATTCGAACCTCAGCAAACACCCCCTAGCGTCAGTCGCCAGTGCATGCGGACACTGATAATTACAAAACAAAACGTGCGAAACGCAGGATGGCTAGCCAATAAAGTCAATAACCGCCACACGTGCACAGCAAGCTTTGGGACTTGCGAAAAAGCAACACGAAGTGGCCCTCGAGTTCGTACAAGTCTTGCGCGAGACGGTCCACAGCTGCACTCAAAGCCACCTTCCAACATGGCAAGTGTAGTTTGTTAGGATTATCGGATGAAATGAAACATGTCGCCGCATTCCCCGGAACGGCTGGCAAAGCTCTGACACCACCCTCGACATGGCCTGAGTCTTCTGCGCCGATGCCTGCAGTGCGCCCAGAGATGCGTCGGAAGCCTGTTTGCATGGCAGGGCCACTTTTCAAGTGTGCAGTAACCGTGTCCATTGGACAGGCTTCGAAGCTGTGCGGCCAGCACTCCTTTTGTTCACTAGGTCACGAGGTGGTAGTACGCTTCTGTATGGTCCCGCGCTGTTCCACATCACAGACTGGCCACGACGACACAACGCACAGATAGCCTACACTACACAACACCCACCCTGAGGATTACCCAGGCCTAGCCAAGTTAGTCGTTCCAGCCTCGAGACGACAGGGACATCTAAATCAATCGGAACGTATGCCATCACTTCCGTTCGGGGCTTCTGCACATCAATTCTTGGAACATCTTGGAACGGAAATGCATGAACGGCAAATGTTGACTGGAGCCTCTTGAAATTTTAGCATGCTCGTGAGACTTCAAAGCTCAGAAGCTGGTAGCGTGGGCCCAGAGAAATTCACCGGAAATGCCGGGCGGGTGCCGGCAGATTGGCTGTGCGAGGCTGGGAAGAACCTGAAGGTCCATGCCTCTCATTCGTGATTGCTTTCTTCTGCTCTGCCTCGCACGGCC